AGGGTTTAGGGTTTGCCAAACTTGAGGGTTATACAAGGGCTAAATACACTGGGTAATATGGAGGTTACACAGGGGTTGTATTTGGATAATTTCAGTTGGATGTACTTTTCCAGCCTTAAGGGCCCCCCAAATACTCAAAGAGTTGCGTAGTTCTCAGGAAGGATTCAGAATGCTGATCAACCTCCACAGTTGGATCTGTTGTGCCTCTACCTTTGAACCCTAAACCCCTTCCTTATGCAACCTATGCCCTAAACCCTTAGCCGTAAACCCTGATACAACTTCTATACCCTAAACCCTTAACCCTTTTCAACCTTTTTAACCTAAGCCCCCTGCCCTTCTCCCCATATGCGCTACACCCTCAGCCTAGAGCTCTATACAAGCTTAATACCCTACACCCTACGGCAAGGTTTTTCTAGATAAGTGGAGGGCAGGCCAACCTGTAATGTTTCTGAGGTAGCGCAAAAGACTTGTTCAAATCCGGATGTTTTCTTGTGTGGACGCTAAAGCGCCCTCCGGCCAAACCCTCTTCCGCGCCTTCTCCCTCCCTCCCCCTCCAAAAGCTTCGAAGGGGAGGCCCGCCCGGTAAGCCCTGAAGGAGTTCAAAAATCCTTCTGCCCCTGTGGTCCCTGGAAGATTTCCAAAAATCCTTTAGGGCTGCCCGGTGGGCCAAAAAGCCTTAGCTCCCAGCACGGTGGGCCCTGAAGGAATTCCAAAATCCTTCAGGGCCGGCCAGTGGCCTGTGCAAGATTTTCAAGAGTCCTTCAGCCCTGCCCGGTGTGCCCTGAAGGATTTTCAACAAGCCTTCAAGGCCCACCGGACAGCCCTGCAGGATTTCCAAACATCCTTCAGGGCGCTTGGGGGTTGGGTGGATGGCTTGGCTGGAATCTCTGCATGTTTAAAGCGGTGGCGACCTGACGTTGTTTCCTACTTAGGTGGTATAAAGTACATGTTCGATTTTTTTTTACATGCCCGGATGTGTAGAAACCGACACCAGGCACCCTAAACCCGCAACTGTGGATCCCAGTGGCAGGTGCCAGCTGGATACAGCCAACCGGTCCGAATGGGCCCATCCCACGGAAAACTGCATGGATGGTCTTCTTCGAATGCGACTGTGCCTACCGTCTGGCTCTTAATGGAGATTGACTTGTTTGTGCTGCCGGGTTGCTCCATGTTGGCTTTCTTTTCGGCTGAGGCTATGGTCGGATCGAAGTGAAACCCCAGCAATATCCGCAGTGGATGTGCACGCTGATGCACTGGGTCATGTCTGGCCCCCAGTGGATTCTGATTGATAGCCTGTTGCGAACTCAGCCTATGCTTTCACGTAAGCATTTCCCAAAGTAGTTTGTTGTTGGGTATTCTTGCACATGTTTGCCCCATGTTTGCATGGATGCTGCTCTCAGGCCGTGTTGCGGAATCAATGAGCAGAAGGCGCGGATCGTGTGCGCTCTTAGCCTGTGCTGTAGCCCCTGACATGTTTGGTTGTGTGCTGCAAGATGTAACCCCAGAGCAACAGCCCGAAAGGCGCGTTAGGGTGCCTGACCGAAATTAGGGTCCGCCTGCACTGAAAAGTGGCGCATGCTCTTGTAGGACTGGCCCAACAGCTGCAACCTCAATCTCTACGAGAGTGGAGGCGGGTTGGCACTGGTGGGAGAGGGGGAAGTGGTTTCGAGCCTTATTTGGTGCATCGGTCCGCTCGCGGTATGTGAAGCAACTGGAAGGTATGTCAGTTGGATGGCATGCGGACGATGAACAGCTCTTCCAGGGGAAGTGCCTTGGCTCAGATTGTTGCTGTGGAATGCTTCAACGAGGTTTTGCCTGCGCTGCCTTAGGCGAATGCATGCTAATTGATATTAGTGACACCTGGGAATTGGGCGTCTTGAGTCTGGCTTCTCACTGAGGCAGCAGGACTGCCGCATCATCTCACTGTCACTTGGGGCCACGCGCGCCTTCGAAGTTCGATCGAACTGGTCCAGGGCCTGGGAGAAGGGTCCAGGCATAAGAGTACGTCTCCAAAGCATCATACTTCTGGGTGTTTTGATTTGGGTGCATCAGGCACCCCCAAAAGTAATGGGGAAAGATCCCAAGTTCATGGATTCATCCAAGCTATGCTCTTCCAGCAGGGAGGGCCTGGAAAGCGCAAGAGAGCATGGCTGTTGAGCGAGCTAATTGATGGGGTCATTAGGTTTCCAACAAACATGGCCAACACATATCAACTTGGATTGTATTCTAGCTTTTGGTGAGTGTATGTAGAGTGTAGAGTTCCTTAGGAACATGGTGAGTGTATACACATATATACATATTCATGCATATATGTGTATAATTGGCGTCCAATTTGGGGAACCATGATGCAAGATCCGCCCGTATACCCTGAACCCTATTCGGTTTTCACGAATTCGCAGTTGCAGTGTCTTTCTTGGTTCCCATAAAACCTGGGTTTGACAGCACAAAGCGCATATTATAGTATATCATGGTATATTACGGTATGTTATGGTAGCATTCCCAAGGCCCAAGCACAGCCTGCTCATCCTTACAGAAATCCTGCCATATTGCCGATACAGAAATACCTTGTATAAAGCTAAAACAAAAAGTCGGTGAGGTTTGAGACAACCTTATGTCATGCAACTACAGCATGTAACCCGTTCAGATCTTGAAGAAGCTTATGAAACCCTGCGGCAACACTCTGTCACAGGCATGGGCATAAGACGCCAAGAGGAAGCTCATGTGCTTCTCTCATCCCTAAACTGTAGACCCGAAACCCTACCCTGAATCTCTAAGCGCTTTTGGTAGCTAATGTCCCTACATGACTAATATCTTGACATAATCCCCACATATCCTCACGTATCTAATCTCCCTATATATCATCCTTACATATCCCTAGATAATCCCTATAGAATCCCTAATCCCTATAAAATCCCTATACAACCCCTCCATACTCCAAGTGTTTCCCCCTTGCTGAGACTATGAAGGTCGGAGTTGGACGGCACTGTGCGGCTCGAGCTGGGTGACGGTGATCTTTGCACAATGGACCTATTGGGGTTATATAGGGTTTAGGGTTTAGGGTTTGGGGTTATATGGGGATAATGGAAAAGAAAATGGAAACTACTATGATGGGTTATATAGGGTATAGAGTATGGGGTAGATGAGGATCCTTGCACAATGGACCCTCGGACTTTTAGGGTTTGGGTTTTAGGGTTTAGGACTGTTAGGCCTGAGGTTGCGAAGGTTTAGGACTTTTGGGGTTTGGGTTTTAGGGTTTAGGACTTTTAAGATTTTGAGGGTTTAGGATTTTTAGGGTTTAGGATTCAGGGTTTAGGACTTTTGGGGCCTAGGGTGTAGGGGCCAAATAACATAGCAGGGTTTTGCGTTGAGGGCTTACGTGTAGGGATTGTATAAAGTTTTGTGTTCGGCCCATACAGGGTGTAGGGCCCTGGACCATGGAATGTCGGGTGATGTAGGGGATCACATGACGTATTGTAAAGCATATAGGAGTATATGGGGGCCCTATGTATGGAAAATGTGACAAGGCTTTGGGGCCTAAACCCAAGCCAGTTCACAAGGCAAGCCACAGTTGGCGCAGGAGGGTCTGGTCCAAAAGCACTTCCAGCATCGCGTGCCGCGCGAGGACAAGGCCCCTATTGTTTTGTCGTTGCGACTCTCTAAACGCAAGAGGGGTTGAAAGTGGCAGAGGTGTTGTCAGGTCGTGTTCGCTGTGCTTACGGTAGAGTGGAAAACGGTGGTAGTGCCGAGCATTTGCAATTGCAGCCAAAGTTGAAATAGTGATTGTGGATGAGCACTGGACACGCAGGGGAGAAGACACTCAAGTTGTAATCAGGCTATAACGTGTATGCCTTATAGCTACTAAAGCAGAGAACACTCTAGTATTTCATAATAAACCTAGATGGCGGGAAACCCTAGAGCATGCGCAGGCATCTGGGCCTCGGATAAACCTCACGTGGAGGTGGATCGCAACTGGTTCGCAAACATCCATAGTACCTTTTAAAGGGGTTAATTATAGAGGTTATACATGGGTCTACAGGGAGTGGGGTTTAGGTATAGAAATGAAACAGCTACGATGTGCAAAGTGTGGGTAGACGAGCTGAAGGACGTAGAGACGATATGACCTCATTACAGTATTCCACTATCCCCATATAACCCCAATATGTACCCTGTAATCCCTATAACCCCAGTATATATGCTATAATCCTTATAACCCCTACATATACCCTACAATAACCCTATATGATCCCCTATGTGCAACCTTGCCGTATCGACCGAGGTGAGGCATGCCGCGCACTGCCCGCACGCCCGAGGGCGACGCTGAACTCGCTGAAAAGTTTGCTGCGGTTAGTAGGGAATAAGGGAATGCAATATAGGGGATGTACGGGACTATATTTTCTTATTCCCTACTGACTACCAGTAAGAAAGAGTGCGCAGCTGTCTGCTCCGTTGGACATCAGACTTGGAAATGTAAGGCAGCATTTGCACCGTGGAGCCATATCTGAACAAAGCCAAACATGCTCCAAAAGATCTAGAAGAACAGAAATGCTGCTCTACTGGTACTGAAACCCAGATATTGTGGAAGCTTTTCAGTTCAAAGCGGCGGGTTACAGAGTGTGTATGCTTCAAACCTTCGAAGAAGGGTGAAAGGAGAACTTGACAAGCCAAAATCAGAAAACAAGCTTGCATGCGCTTCTTACACCCCTTCCCCGTACATGGCTTACGTAACCTCGCTCTCGACCCCTAACTAGAGCCCAAAGCTCCTCAATCCCGAATGCGACGTGCTCACAATTACCCCCATCATGGAGTCCTTTTATGGGAACTCCCATAAGCCCTCGGCACAATATTCGGGCGCAAATTCTTTAAAACATGAACCCTTCGAGCCTGAGGTTCAGGGTGTATAGGAATTAGGGTCTAGGAGGACAATTAGTCTTTAATGTCCACTTTTCCCTAGAATCTCTGAAGTCTCGGAAGAAACACTTCCATTTTACCAGGTGCTCCCTTAAAGCTGGCTACAGAACAAAGCCGCATGCTTGACTTTCAAGAATAATTCCTGACGTCGTTGACTACGCCCCAGATGCCCCCCCAAATTGCGCCGCCCTAACCCCTGAACAACCCTAAAACGGCAACCCTAAGAGCCCTGAGCCCCCACCCTTAAACCCTAAACCTATATGATATACAGCAATGGGAGGGGTTGGGCTTCTCAGGAAGATGCGCGAAACGGCCCGCGCGAAAGCAGAGATGGAGCTGGCCGGGCTCAGTAAGCAGGGGTTTACTCAATTTTCGGGTTGTAGGGTTTAGGGGGCTAGGATTCAGGGTTTAGGATTAAGGGCTTGGGTGGGTTTCTAGCATTTTTGGTTTAGGGACACCCTAAACCGCTTTGGGAGATGTGATGATATGCAAGATTGACTATGGTGTGGAGTAGATCACACAAGTAGACCTCCCCAGCGAGAAGCAGAAAGAATAGCAATAACATGAATGATCAGAAGAATCGTCGTCACAATGCTATGTACATGAAGGGCATAACTGACGGCGTCCAAGTTGTAAAGCAGTATATCAATAGGAATAGCAGGCGGAGCAACAAGACAATGCCAGTCCTGAAACACTTGAGATGGTACTCGTAGATTGTGTTCCATGCAGTAGAGGGATGTACCCAGTTTTAGATTAGGGTCTTTTTTGGGGGGTCAAGACCAAGTATGTTGGGTCCATATTGGGTTGGGAAACTACCAAAGAGAGGCTGAGTTACATTGCGCTTCCTATTCAGCTTGAGTTGGCTTGTGGATTGGGCTTTAAAAATTCAATGCCACGCTGGAAGAGTAAGAGTCAAAATAGTAGCAATATTCGTGATCGTCGTAGTAGTAGTAGTAGTAGTAGTAGTGGTGGCAGTAGTGGCAGTAGGAGTAGTAGCAGTAGTAGGAGGAGTAATGAAAATCAGAATAGAAGTAGTAACAGCGGCTTCACACTTGCCTGCGCAATGCCACGTAGGCGGCCCTGACCTCTGGTTTCGGGCACATGACCTTGCATGGCAAATGGTCAGGGTCCACCCAAAAGTTGTAGCAAAGACTATGCTCCGCGAGGCACCCTGTAAAGTCCACCCAACGCACTGCCACCTCTACAGCAGCATTGTGACTAGACCGCCACTCGGATTGACTGGGAACTGGGCAGCTGATGAGTCACCAGGATAATTACCTGCGAGCAGACTCAATCCGTTCCTAGTCCAAGTGTCACGTCATTCATTTCCAGTGTTGGCTAGCTATCTTCCGGCCTTTCTGGGCTGCCCAAGCCAGGAGTGCCCGCTGTTTCTCTCGCAAAGAATGCGGAGAATGCTGGCATCCATCCTTGGAGTACCCTTCCCTGAATCAGTGCAGACCTCAGGCATACCTCCCATGGTAGATGGCATGGTGGAGTAGCAGCGGTACCAGTGGCAGTGGTCTACACTGTGAGGCAGGTGAGGAGTTCGACTCCACAGCACTGGAGGACTTCTGGGCAAAGAGGGGCTCGCAAGGATACTTTGGCTTGGCAGTACTCTAACAGCAGCATTTGCGTTCATGGTCCAGGATAGAAGTAGTAGCGGAGGCGGCTGAGTGGAAAATGCCGCGTGGAGGAGAATGTCGCCAAAGCTGTTGCGGCACTCACCTTCAATCACAACCTTCCTCCTTCGTATGTCCAGTGCCCCGAAGATACTGTTACCTTACTCAAGCAATGAGTGGGGGGCCCTTGCAGGTACTTCCTGAACCAAGACCCTGCGCTGTGGAAGTTTCAGCAGGACAGAAAGTGCACCTGCATCATTCATTAACTCCATCTCATGATTGGTGCCATTGACCACTCTTCGCAGTGCCAATGCTGATCACTTGAAACATTAACAGCTTTCCGAGGAGTCTCATGATGAGCATGTCTACAGCAGGGGCCCTGACCATGCCATGCATCCCTGGATGTCCTGAAATTTGTATAGTAGAGATCTTTGTTATGGGACTCCTCATTATGCCAGGATCCCTACACTGTGGGTACCCTTTTGTGGGGGGGGGGGGGGGGGNNACAACCTTCGGCAAACCTCCGCATACTTTGAGAGACGTCTAACATTGGTTCTCAGGTTCGATCCTTGACCGAGTTCAGCGAGAGCTCCGCGAGGTGGGTTTGCGCCTTGCGCCATCATGCACTGGGCTGCTTCCTTCAAAGTCGATTTGTCTAACAGTCCCTATATCATCCCACATCCCATCCATTCTCTCATTCCCTTTGCTGAGCATGGGCAGGATCCACCTCCAAACGTGGTTACCAGCCCCAGCCCGGAGGAGTGTGGGGCCCCTGGCAGTTTCGCAGAGAGATCTTCTTGCATATAACGATACGCTAAACCCTAAACCAGACATTCTGGTTGTCATGCAGCCGGCAAAAGGTCCGTTAAAGAAAAAACCCTAAACCCTGAGAACACAATCAGTATCCGCTGTATCGGCCTTGAAGCCAAAGGGTAGGTGTGGTGCTTGGGACTTAACATGGTAGATTCCTTAAAAAGGGGGGCTCCAATATAGGCCCCAA